TTTCTTTCAAGTTATTAGCCCGGTCCGCGACTTAATGGACACCCTGTATGTGCACATATATAATATAAATGTTTTTCTTAATTTTTGCGATTTAATAAAAATACATAATTGCTTTTTTAAAAAGTTTATAATTCCACATAATTTGTACCTGCGCTTGTCGCATTTGACGTATTGATTCTTTCGTGTGTACCATCATACGCCCATTCTTCTCTATCATCAGTTCCGGTGCTGCATAGGTATCATGAATTACCCAGTTATTCACAAACATCCCTTGATTCCTGCGGGATCTCAGGCCACAGTAAGTGCCACGTGATTTCGTCAACACGCGTATCGTCTGCGTTTCGACATTCAACAGCTTCCGATCGGAACCCGGTCCTACTGTTACATACTCGTAATTCTCATTTTCCTGTTTTATCGCCTGTCCTTCAGGTGTTCGCAAATCCTCGGTCATCTGTGGCATCTCGAATATGAAGAATGTCTGCGTTTCCTTTAAGGTGATTGTCACAGTTTCCGGACGTATCGCAAATATTGCCGAGTCGTCGCTGTAAATAAATATTCGAGATTGAAAAAATATCCTGTATTTATTTAAATATCCTGTATCTATTTTATATATATCTATCCAGACGATATCATTTCAAGACAGCTCCAGTCTAGGTCTGTCTTAAAAGTAACAGTTTTATAATACTTAATGTTATCCCAGACAGCACAGAATATTTATGATAAATATTTATTAATATTCATTTTTTGAAATGTTATATAGATATTTTATACATATTTCATATAAAGCTTTATTCGAAATATTATAAAAACTAAATATTTTATGCAATATTTATGATAAATATAAATAAATATTTCTAATAAGTATTTTTTATTTGGATTATAACGTCTCATTAAGTATTTTTATAGCATTTACTAAAACTATTCTAGTAGATGTTAAACTTGATTCCTGTCGTTTTTCGTTTCCAAAATTGATTTATTTCGAAGGAAAATACCTTAATCAAAGTATTATTAATAAAGTATTATTAATTAGTAATAAAGTAGAAAATGGAGGAAATTACTTTGATTAAGGTATTCATTCATCTTCCCTTCGAAACAAATCAATTTTGGAGACAAAAAACGCAGGAATTAAGTTTAACACCTAATAATAAGTATTTCTAAATATTTATGATCTGTGCAATCTAAAACCACAAAAATATTTACAAAATATTTAAAATAAATCTTATAAATATTTCTAAATATTTTGTAAATATTGTGTGCTGTCTAGGATAATTTCGCACTTAACAATAAAAATGTAATGCAACAAAAAATTATATAGTGTTAAGTATAAAATTATTAAATTAATATTAATTAAGTTATTTTTAATTGGTGTCGAGTAAGATATTTCTCATAAAAATACGATAACGCTCCAAAGTTAAATTTACATTAGAAATAATTAAAACATATAACATAAACTACTGTTACCTAGGTAGAAAAAATGGCGATGGCGCGGCATCCTCATCCTCCTCCGTGGGCAAAAACTCACAAACCTGTGTCGACAGCAGACTTTCCATCTGTAAATCATCGGATGGCATCATAAAAGACTTAAGAAGGACGGAAGAACTAGTCCTGAGACCGCTGGCTCTCGAAGAAGTCATCTGCAGTTGGGAACCGCTTCCGGTCTGGAATAATCCGATGGTCTCCAAAGCGGTCGTCTGATTCTCATCGATGGTGCTAAAGGCTGCATGGACCAACGGCTTTGGTGTGACATCCATGTTCTCGTGAATGATCCGAAAGGCCTGTCGTTGTTGAAGAAGTGTCGAAGCGACATTCCGATCGCATCCCGTCTTGCGGACTCGTCCAAAAGCACCGAGCTTTATCTTGGACGAAGTAACGCTCGGAATCCTAGAGAATGTCCATTGCGACGATTCGAAGTCACCGGTTTTCATTCTGCGAGTGCCGAATAAAGTTTTATAGATCCAGACGTCTGGAGCAACGTTTGAGATTAGTTAAAGACGCGAGCGCAGTTTGGAGCAAATGCAAGTATTTACCGCCATTTTCCGCGGTTCCTTGGAAACGCGAAAAATGGCGGTAATTTAATCAAATTTGAATGTATACATAGAGACTGAAAGAGTTTTTGTAAAAAAAAACCGCACAGAAATGTACATCAAATACTTAAAAAAAATATTCAAAATGTATATGCAGGAAACAGAAGTCTTAAAGAGACAAGAAACTGCATATAATTTATTTACAACAAAAAAATATTTAAAATTTGTAATAAGCGGCTCGATTAATAAAAATTCAAACAAAAATCAAAGGAGCTACGAGCCAAACAATATATTTGTAACAATTAGTTGTGCACAATGGTTTGTATTAAACGTTATGATAACATTAGCTTATAATAAAATTAAAAATTATAATAGACGGCTCGAATGATAAAATTCATAACATATAAACAGTAAATACTAGTCGAAATAAAATATTAGTTACAACGTTAAAAAATTATAAACAAGAACAAGACAATTTCTGGATTCTTTATTACTAAGAACTAAGTTAAAATAAATAATTCTTTGTCTGAAAGGCATATACCATTAAAATAAATACTTCTACAACGTATAAATATGGTGTGCATTCGAATTGAGATAGATAGATATTTTTTATTATAATTTTAATTGATTTTTGATCATTGATTTTATATGTTCAATACATATATAATTATCTTTTCGTTTTTCTTGTATCATATTTTAACAATAAACACATGACTAAGTATATTAACGAATTTTTGATGAATATAGTTTAATTTTTGACCGAGGTTCTAATATATTATGTGTAGATTATAACAATAAAACTACTAAGGTCCGTTTCCACCAACGCAGATCATCTTTAATCTCGGTTCAACTTACTCTTTGTCTTTTTCTAGTTTTAAGATTAGAAAAAGACGAAGAGTAAGTTGAACCGAGATTAAAGTTAATCTATATTGGTGGAAATGGGCATAAGTGACGATGTTCTGAGGTGTCCCTCGAGAGTCGAGTGCATGGCATATTTAGTAATGATTGGTATCACCTTTGGAGCAGTACACACAACGCTGCTAGGATGTGTTGTCGCAGAATTACATACGTAGATCGTAATTACAGAAATTATCTTATCGTCAAAATTCTCAACTTATAACTCTCGAGATTGTCAAACAAATTACATAAAATAGGCTAGTGAGAGTCAAATTTGCGGTGAATTGTGTGTGCAATAAATTATTTAATACATAATACTTATACATTAATCTTCATACGCTTCAGCCATCATTCGGGCCATCTTCAGTGAAACAAATTAGATAATAAAGATTATCTTATTGTGATATTAATGGTATAAAATAAGTCCGTACATATTGGAAATTTATTTTAACAATTTGAAGATAACCTCGTGATAGGTCAAAACGTCTTGTTCTTGTTTATAATTTTTTGATATTGTAATTTTTGAATATTTTATTTCGACTAGTATTTACTGTTTATATGTTATGAATTTTATCGTTCCAGCCGTCTATTATAATTTTCAATTTTATTATAAGCTAATGTTATCATGATGTTTAATACGTAACCATTGTAGGTACATCACTAATTGATCATTGTTACAAATATATTGTTCTGCTCGTAGCTCCTTTGATTTTTGTTTCAAAAAAATATTTTTGAACAATTAGCACTAAAATTTTATCAATATTGTTTATAATTATATTAATAAAGTTATATTAAACAATTATTTAAAGATATATTAATATTAGGTGTTAAACTTAATTCCTGCCGTTTTTCGTCTCCAAAATTGATTTGTTTCGAAGGGAAATACCTTAATCAAAGTATTATTAATAAAGTATTATTAATTAATAATAAAGTAGAAAATGAAGGAAATTATTTTGATTGAGGTATTCATTCATCTTCCCTTCGAAACAAATCAATTTTGGAGACGAAAAACGGCAGGAATTAAATTTAACACCTATTAATTGCATTTTATCTTATTAAATCCACAAGGCAATATATCTATATTTAAGTCAAATTTGAGCGAATCTTGCTGGAAAGATTTTGAAAACTGTATTTGATTCTACGTGAGCCAATGTCAGATGTCACTATGTAATCGAGTTAAAAGTTAACGGAATATGAACCGAATTTTCTATCATCATTAGGCATATATATAAGCAGAAGACTGAAAATCACTCTGATACGAATTTAAAAGTAGAAACTCAGTGTAAGTGCAGCTCTACTCGCTACACCTGAACTGGATAGCATTTTTACTCCCCCTCGGCTATACATAGCGTTCTACGTGATAATTCCAGTGTAATCGATAAAATTACTTAAGATAGTGTAGTGATATATCAGAAACGCCAAACGTCGTAGAATCTGATATCTATTACGCGGTGCGCGTACTCGCGTAGGTAGACGATGTCAGCGAAAGGAAAGAAAAGAATACACAGGAAGCGTGAAGGTGGAGGAACCGGGGGGTGGGGATGGCAGCGACAGTGATGTGGTAACAGCTGTAGCTTCAAGCTTTTCGAAGAATTTTCGAAGAAAATCGTATTAGTTTTTTTTTTGTTTTTGATACGTATAATCACATAACATTATTGGTAGCTCCGTGAATCGTAGACCACGTTGGAGTACATTGAAAGTTGGAGTGTCGCATATCCACAAGAGGCCAGACTGGGCCAGACGCGAATCCGCGATTGTCGGTGGACGCGGTGATTGCGGCATATATAACTGCATATAACGCGCAGTGCGGACGAAACAGCTAAATGTGGTGTCGGCGTGAGCACTTGTGACGCGCGCCATGTCGCGCGTTCCCAGCTGATCCTACGTTTGACATAACGTGCACGTATTCCCGCAGCCGTTCCGTTCAACAGCAGCTCCGAAAATAGCGTAATTACGAAGAAGATATAGCCACGCGTCTTCCTTGATGCGTGATTCAGTCGTGATCTAGTAAAATCCGAGCTGTTCCGAGAGAGAATGGCGGAGCTGGATGACTTATTTCACACGGATCAATATGTAGGCCCGGAGCGCCTTACTGATTTGTGCTACAAACTGATCTGCGAGAATCTTGACATTATCTCGACAAAGGGAAGACGCGGCCATCGGATACTACGAAAGGGAATAACCTTCCCGAGCGAGATATGCGACAAGATTATAGAATACGCGCAACGTAGTGAGGCGACCGAGGATGACGATTGCTTTTTCTCCATTTTCAAAAATCTAGCGGCGACCCGACTGAAGCACGTTAAGATCTCTAATTGCAGCCTGACCGACACTTCGGTTCAGACGCTTGTCAGCCACAAACTTTATGATTTAGAACTCACCGATTGTAGTAATGTAACTGAAATCTCTATCGAACATATTAATGCCAATTCAGAAAACTTACACAGTTTAGCGTGTTATGGAACTTCGATGATCATACCTTCTAGTTTAAGTGCCTGTAAGAAACCACTGTAATCCATGTATTCTATCATAACGTGATCCAACATGTGGATTATTAATTAAACTATCTATAACCTTTGTTACAGCCGGCTCGCCCAACAATTACGTCCAACAATTACAATACTATGGACGAGATTACCAAACACGAAGATACGTTTTCAAAACGCCAAATTTAAAGCGACTGGCATTAGCATATGTAGGAATACCTTCATCAGAATATACCCTGCTACTAGCAGGATTAACGAATTTGACGCATCTAGATTTGTCCAATAGCTGTAACATTGATACTTTCGAATTTCATCACTTGGTACCAAATTTAGTATCCTTAGCTTTGTACAACGTTAAGGTCAATACTGACCCAAAATCTTTTGTTAAGAACATCTGTCAGTTGAAGAATTTGAGGTATATTATAAAACTTGGATTATACTTAGATAATATAGTTGTTACATTATCTAATTAGCAATTTTCTTAAAGGTGCAAGTATACAATTAGATGATACGCAAACCTAAGCTATAAATTAATATTAAACAATATAGATTCACATAGAATATTTTTTTAGGCACTTGGATATTTCTCAATCGTGTCATAAACAGGGACAGTTTGAGAATCCTAATAAGATCTTATCTGACCTAGTGACTGGTCTACCTCAGTTGGTTTCTTTAGATATCGGTGGCACAAACCTTGCAGGAAGAGGTGTAGCTGAGCGTCCCATAAATACAAATATTGAGGACACCAATTTTGGACAGCTTTCCGATATACCAGGACTCGCATCTAAAATACATAAACCATTACAATTTTTAGGACTTTATGGAACTACTCATGGTGCTTGTAGAAGACATGATATACCAGCAAAAGTGGTAAGATATACAAGATGTTTTATAATTCATACTTACTAATTACAAAATGAAAAATTTTTAACTATTTTTTGCTGCTTCATTACAACAAAAAATTAAATAAAAAATACTTTTAATTTATTTACGTATTTTCTCGTGACTTGATTTAGGTCGCTGGCGATGCAAATGAGGATCAAATACTGATCGCAGCTCATGTTTGTATGGACAATAAACAAGAATTATTGCAAAAAGTATTGAGTGATTTATACCATGTATTTAGATTTGAAAATTGTCATAGAATGGATCAAGCGCTATGTACTGTCTTGGAAGCGATGGAAAAGCATCCAGCTCAGAAGCATATACAAATATCTGGAAGGTATGTGCATAGATACACATTCTGTAATTTATAAATTGCCAAGAGAAGCAACTACGATATTTGAGAAAACAATTGTTAAACTTACATCAATAATTATAATTTTAATTTTATGTCATATATAACAGCGCCACGTTATTCTACATAGTAAAGATGAAGGAAAAGGGTGAATTAGTAGCACGAATGAAAAAAAGAATTATTGGTACTCTTCTTGCTGGTATGAGCACACATAGAGATGAAGAAACTATGATGCGGAACGGTTGTTTGGCATTGTGTCAATTCCGCATACCACACGACGTGGTTTGTATTACTTTGTTTTTTTTTAATGCATATTACATGATTAAATATTATTAGTTTTTTATATTAAATCTTTTGCAATCAAATTATAGGATATATTATTAACAAAAAAATTGTATCTTTATGTAATGTAATCATTTATCAATTTATTTGTATAGATGTCCAATTATGAAACCCTTGTAAAAGTACTTCTACATTCAGCCAAACACTCAGAACCAGAAAGTTTTGTTCAAAGAATTGGCATATATCTATTGAATTCTTTAGCTTGTCAAGTGGAAGGTAAAGAGAAAAGATTACTTGGCAAATTGGGTTGTGTTAAGACTATGTTAGAATTGGTGGAATACAGGGTGGAGACAAATATATTTGACGATGTATTAGAAGTCGCATGGTCAACTATGTGGAATATGACAGACGAAACGTCTATAAATTGCGAACGATTTTTAGATGAGGAAGGCATGGCACTTTTCCTGAAATGTGTACAAGTATGTTTTACAATATATATTTGATTATAGACGCTACAGAATGTATTTACAATTAGCTTAAGGCGATGCTAAAGTCTTCTGTTTTACCACATTTCCATTCGGTGAAAAATCTCTGTATTGGAAGTACGGATTGCAAAAGTATTATTGCTTAAATTAAAGTACGCACAAACAGGACCTCAGCTGCACTGGATTTCATGAAAAAATCGAAAAAAAGTTTCAGATTCATTAAAAATTCACTTACTTTTGGCTCGTACAGCTGTCACCTCAGATATATATTTGCTTGATATAAGAGTTTTAGAGTCCATATCTTGAAAATAAGCGTGCAGCTGAGGTCACATTATTGA